AAAAACAATTGTGAAATATCTGGGAGGGGGGTGGGGGAGGGGGGATTTACTTTCCCCCTAAAGAGGCAGGTCAAGATGAAAAGTTGACAGAATGCAAAAAATTTCACACGTTTTCATTTTTCCATTCTCGACATAACTTATTATAAAGTATGTCTCAGTTGCTTATAATTATTATTATTAGTAGTAGTAGTATAAACTACTTTTTCTAGTGTTAGCTCAAAAAAAATACTTTTTTCCAGGACAATAACATAGTTGTTTTTTTTATAATATACATTTTGCATACTTTTAGCTGTTATTGCTGTCTCCATCAGCGTTTAAACAATGAAGATACTGTAAAAAAAAAAAAAAAAAAGAACAATAAAAAAAACTTGTCATTCAATTCAAGGTGAGCGCAATGGAAACCGGAAACCCAAGTGACGTCAGCACAGGAACTGGCAGGTAGTCTCGGGGAGTGTCTTTTAAAACCAGGTGGGACGTTATCGGACATTTTAGACCGAGAAAGTATCAGAGTGAAGAGTTTGGAGTCCTGGCGCACAATATGGAATCTAAGCGGGCTTTGATTCTTCTGTTGGTGCTTTGCTCTGTTTTTCCGCAGGACGCGCAACAACAAGGTAATTTAAGCTCCGTTTTTGTTCGGTAGGCTGTCAAAGTTTAAAGGAAGTTGGTTGCTTTTTTTTTTTTTTTTTACCGATCAGAGGCTCCTATAATAATATTAGGGTTTTCATATTAAAGCAGCAAACTGTTACCAAACTGTGGAGCATTAATCTGACTCATTATTAATGGATAAATATGTTAGATCCTTCTAGAGTTTCTGAAATTACTAAACGGTTAATTGATACATTGTTTTGTTTGATTTAAGACTAGAAAGAAAACAAACAATGATAATATATACTGTTAGGAATCTGATCTATAAACTAGCTGTTTTTCAACTCTTGTTTTTTTAGGAGTCGTCATTCTTTGCTGCTTTATGTGTTTTTTTTTGCTTCCTAATCTAATGTTTCACAGCTATTGTAATAAAGAAATAATAATAATAATGATAATAATAATAATAAAATATATATATATATATTCACCCTTTAGTTCTAGAGTTTTCAGTATCAGGACATTGGTAAAATAATTTGGAACCTGAGAATATTAAGGAGGTACAAAGTGTACGAGCCATTCAGTTGATTGCATCAGTGTAAAAGAATTCAGGTGATAGGATCTTACTGCAGTATCACCAGATTCTATTATTTTTCTGTCATTCTAATGTTGATCGGCTTCTCTGCTGCGCTCCGCTTTCTGTGTGCATGTTCGAGTTTCTGCCAAACCTCAGCTGGGAGTCTGATCAGCTCCTAGTTTTAGAGGAATCTCTTTCAGGGATGTGAAACTGGTTCCACAAAGGGCCGTGTGGCTGCTGGTTTTCTGTCCAACCAAGCAGTAGCAAGCCAAACTCCAGTCATCCCATCATGTGATTTCAGCGGTACCCTGATAATTGACCAGCAGTCACACAACCCTTTCTGGAACCAGTTTGACTTCTAGCAGCTGAAAAACCAGCCCATATCCTCACCCATGTACTGTTGTGCTTTTCAATGGGTACAATGTGTTTGTGCCTGGATTATTTTGCCCTGTAACTACGCCAAAGTGGGTATGACGGATTTCTTTCTGTCCTTGCATTTTGGCACCACACCCGCTTTGTTTAGAGCAGCTTTGAGTAAACAATTCTTTCATGGAGGTTGTGACATATTGGAGGACCAGTTTTCAACATATTTAATTTTCTTTGTGCTAACTTAACCTTAACTGGATTTACTTTGGAAAAAAAAAACAGACAAAGGGCAAAATAGCTATAGTTTGTTTAAAATGACTAATTATATTAATGTTCAGTGGTGTGTTTAAGAAATGTTTGGCATGCACTACCAGCATTGTCTCCTCCCACTTACACAAGGAGGGAAACGTCATACAGTGATGAATTGGCTGGGATATCAGATGACTAGCTAAAAAATGAGAACGTGCCAAAACAAGATCCATAATGAGAAGACTACAAATATCCCGGTCAGTTTACTAAGCAAATTAAGCATCGGTTAAATTAAAAAAATAATCAAAGAACTCTTTAGTTAACCTAAAACAATAGTTACTGTTTGGATAGTTAGTATAAAATGGCTGAAGGAGGAATTGCTTTTTTCTAACTTGGAAAGAAAGATTGCTCAAAAAAATATCAGGAGTATTGCCGATAGTAGGGATGTCCCTATACAGCTTTTTGGTTTCCAATACAATAATGATATTGCAGCTTGGAAAA